ACCATAAACCAGTGGGCCCTTCTTAGATCCATGTTTCATATCGAAGGGTAAAAGTAGAGATTGGTACCAAAAGGGAGGCTTAAATCTCTTTGCTAACTTGAATGTTGCTTGGCCAGGTGATACTGGATAATTTCTCTAAGTTTTCTGGCTCTTCATCACCACTTCCACTAAATGAGGAGCCTGAACTCCGTGGTATCTAAGCTCCCCTAGTTCTTAAATGTACTGGCTATGTTTGTTTTTGTTCATCCCATTTCAATAGTTTAGATCAATCACTTAACACTAAATAAATGGAACTCATATGAAGAATTTATCATTTACATGTTTGGACTATAGAGTGCTTGTTTAAGTCTTCTAAAGTTCCTGAAGGAATGATGATGGCTGACCATAACTGTCTTAGTTGGAAGGAATTATCTGCAGTATGCTTCTAAGTTTGATTCTGTATAAAACATGTGTGCTGGTCAGAGGGTCTCAGGAATACGTTTAGACGTGATTGTATAGTATGAATATATGTTTATTTGAAAATTGTTACTAACCCTAATAATACCACTTTCTATTGAGGAGGCATAATGATTTTCAAGCCTATGATTAATCACCAGCTGGTTAAAACATTCATGCAAGTTCTCGACCAGGTACCTTGGCCCACCTTTGATTTTAGTTGTACCTGTGTTTCAGAGTTCCAAGTCGTCTACTGCTAGTGGAACTGGGTCCTCATTGTCTTCAGCATCCTTGATACCACACGATTACTTAGACTTTTACTTCTTCTCTACTGCTGTCTGCTTCCTGGAACCACTTCCCACATAAACAACCTGCACCCAAGTTCTTGTCTCAGCTCTGCACTGGGGGTCACCTCAAGCAAGACAAAACCATTTGAGTAATGGCATATTATTACCTTTCAATATATGAAATAAATGTAGGATAGGAAGCACGAATTGTGCTGTTCTCTAGGAGCCAGAATAAACACACTTTTAAGACCTCATAATCTTGATTATAGATAAAAACTTAAAGGACTTTGGCTCAGTTTCAACAAAAATCTAGTTTCTAAAGAAGAGATCTTCTCTGTAGTGTGAATTCTAAATCTATCTGGGCCTTTAAATTTTAATCCTTCAAGGAAATTGAACTGAAATAGTGGGAGCACTTAACCTTCAGGAAACCTGGGCACTGTTAAAAGGAGCAACCCACTATCCTGGAGCATCTAGAAACTGAGCAGAAGAGAGGCTGACTATGGGAAAAATGCCATAGCAGGAATCCTTTATGTTGATATCTGACTCTTGGTCTTATACCTTAGAAGCTCCTTAAATCATTAACAATTTGATATTTCTTGTAGATTTCCATATAAAATTTAGAGCTGTCA